TATGTATTTTCACATTGACAGCTAGGTTTTTGTGCGGCAGTTCTGACCCTCTGGTGTTAGACTGGCATGGGGAAGGGACTCAGAGGCCTCTTAAACTGTGTTCAAATGAAGTTAGGGGAGTTGGCCGGAGGACCGCCAGTGCAAATTTCTTTCAAACATTCCAGGATGTAATCTTTATACCGCGCTGCATCCAAACAGGCAGCAGTTGGGGTTTTTGTGATGTGGGATTTGAGACGTTTGCTGAAGCCATAAAAATCCACACTTTTCTAAGGAGGGGCTTTAGTTTTCCCTACAAGGTGCAGGTAGGTTTTCCTGGTAAGTCCTAAGGAAGGATAGGCTATGAAGGAGAGCTGCCAGCAGGAACCTAAGATCCGATTTTTCTCATTATTTTGAGCTGTTTTCTGCGTACCAATAGCGCCAAAGCCCCTGCAGTGTTTATTAGCCCAGTAGAACGAAGGATGCTTTCGCAGTCTGTCCTAATCAATACACCTTGATTAAGAGACCACGGAGTTTTCAAATAATTAATTGCATATTTATAAAGTTTTTGAAACCTATCTCTTTAAAATGCTGGGAATTTATGGATTACGTTATAAATGTAGGTGTTACAAAAATACAATATGAAACTATTCACCTTGGAATGGTTTGAACTGTAAACGGACACCACGGAGATGAGGTGCCTCTTCCAGGGAAGGGCACACTAGTGAGTTAAACTCTCCAGGCAGACAGCCGCAAAGAGAGAGAACCCAGGGTCTATGTTTTAAGTAAGAACAACACCAACAAAATATGTCCTCAGTGTGCATTCTGTCTACTTCCTTCTGTGCTTTAAACGGACAGGGTCGGGGTTTATTAAGAAGGAAGGGCCAGGACAGGTACTTTGGCAATTTGCCTTGATCACCTCACTTTGCCCTCTGCTTTTCTGATACCCATATTTTTTCCCCCCTGGCATTAAGTAATTTACAGTTTTCATGAATGTTCTGTGGTTCCTGCAAAGAAACTTCTTGATGAAGTGAAGAGTTTGGCTTCAGAGTTTTGCCCCAGGGATGACACTGTATCCCTTGGAAGCTCTCTCTCTATGCATTTCCCTTTTTATAAACTTTCAACACAGCAGGGAATTTTTCGGACCTTTCCTGGACACCGCCAATGATAAGTGGAATCACTGGATACTAGCCAACCATCTGAGAAGCAATTTGGGTTTTGTTGTTACATAAGGAAAATAATATAATTATGGGTAAAAGATTAAAAAAGAATTCCCTAAGGAAAAAATGACAAGAATATTCGAGCCATAAAGATTCTTTAGCTATGTAGGGCTAGACTTGGCCATTGTTACTGTCAAAGAATCTAATTAAATACTATTGAAATAAAAATAAATATCTCTTTCCTCCTTTTTTGACTCTTATTTAAAAGGGAACTGATTGTATAATATAAATATGTATATGTATATATTAGACACACATATATATGTGTATATCTGTACATTTTTGTCTTGCTTTTTTGTTGCTTCATTTCTTGTTTTTGAGGCAGAGTCTCACTATGTAACCCTAGTTAGCCTGGACTTACTATATAGATGAGGCTGGCCTCAGACTCACAGGGATCTGCCTGCCTCTGCCTCTCTGATGCTGGGATGAAAGATGTGCTCCACGATGTTGGGTGGAACGGATTCTATTTTAAAGAACAGCCTAACTAACATTAGCTCAAAACAAGATTGTGGCTTTTGCAACTTCATCACGGGTTCTTTACTCTGGTTATGCAACCACATAACCACATACCTTACTTATAGAAGGGGTAATATCACAGACAATAATGAGAGAGAGAGAGAGAGACAGACAGACAGAAACACACACAGAGAGAGAGACAGAGACAGAGGGACAGAGAGAGACAGAGAGATAGAGACTGTCAGTAGTCATGGGAAAGGCAGAGTCACAATTACAAGCCTGCTTACATTTTCATCATCAAGGCCATGACTTGATGCTGTAGGTGGGCTGATTGAGGATTTGCTGGGCCTGAATCCCCCACAGAGACTGGAATAGTATACAAACATCAGCTATATTCAAATATACTTTCTTTTACTGTAGCCACAAATAATTTTAATAAGGGCAATATGTCTTACTTCGATTAAATGATATTCTTTAATAGCAAAACTTTAGAGCAAATCCTAACTTGGAGTTTGCCAGTCACTTGCTCATAATAATGACCCGCAGATGACGGCAGGTTATCCTTGGTCCTTGAGATCTTATGAAGAGTAGGAGGTACAGACTGTGGTCTTCATAGATAAGCAGTTCTCTTAAGAAGAGCAGGGGGGATGTGTCCTAGAAGCTCCAAACGTCAAGCCCAGGGGGTCTGAGCCATCCTCTCCCTCACTGTGCTTTTGAAACCTCACATTGAGCAGTCAGAATCCCCAAGAGAGCAAAGGAAGCAGGTGAAGTAAACTTTTAGATTGTGTATTTCCCAAATGAATTCTTAAAACGATAGATTGTCTAAAGCCTTGGGGACTAGTTTCTCCTTTTGTGGAAATGCGTTTATCCACACGGCGTTTTACTCAAGGCTTGTGTGCTATCTAACCACCTGTGGGGGGAAGTGAAGCTGAGGGCAGCGAGGGCTGTTGGCACTGACCCAGGGTTCCAGATAACAGAGTCCCTGCAGTCTGACCCAGGGTTCCAGATAACAGAGTCCCTGCACTCTGACCCAGGGTTCCAGATAACA